GGAGCAAGGGGGGGAGATAGAGTTGCAAGTCCCAGGCCAGCAGGCAGGTAAGTGGCCTCTGCTGGATAGGGGAGGGAGTGTGGGGGTGTGCAAGGGTGTGAAGGGAGTGTGAGAGGCATTGTGTGGGTCGGGGGGTGCAAGGGGGTACAGCACAAATCAGGGAGGTTCTTTCTGGGGAAGCCAGTAGGGAGGTTGCAAATGGCGATCACAAGATTGTGGGGAACCTGCAACCAGTTGTAAGTGCAAACAGGTTGCCAAACACCTAGATCACAATCACGTGACTGCGGGGGTGCTGGGATGGCTGGAACTCCAAAAACCAGTCGTAACCGCTATTCATTCAGCACCATCGTAATTTTGAATGGTCGCTGAAAGAATGGTCATAGGTCGAGGTTTATCTGTATAGCCACCAGGAAAAGTCATCTGACTTGTATATTGTAGGTTCAAGAAATAATATAACGATGCTTTTAACAAACTTGCTGTTCTTGAAACAGTTGTAAGCTTTTCTAAAAAGAATTATAATTTATAAAAAGTTTAGAACTAACAATCTAGAATAATTTGTTCTAAATATCAGCCCTGTTTAGAATGTGGGATCTTAAGCTACTTAATTTTGATAAATATGTATGATTATTAAACATATTGGCACGTACAACAGAAGACACAGTTCCTTTTTATCACTTTCCTGCCTGATGAATAATGCTATGTACTGTGCAAAGTTTGTTTTGCTTGTTAAGAGTTTTAATATCTATAAAGTCTAAGCTTAGTTGAAAATGCCAAGAAAAGTACTTCTTGCTGAGGGCCAAATATACTGACAGTATACAGTAATTAGTAATATTACAGCTGCCCTAACTGTAGGTTCTGGATTTCTGTAGACTTCTGAAAAGTACTCTTGTGTTGTGATGGTGATGCTTTCAGTATTTCATCCAGAAAAATATAATTACATATGAAAGAGCTAATGGAGCTTCTGAGACTAACTGTAGTCACATTTTTCCACAGGGTTCAGTAGTCTCTGAGAGGGATTATGAAAGTCTTGTGATGATGCGGATGCGCCAAGCTGCTGAGAGACAGAAGCTAATTGAACAGATGAAACAGGAAGATGAAGAAGAATCTTGTACATAGTAGAAGAGGAAACGGCATTATCATGCATTTTTTGCTTATAATTCTTAAATCAATAAAAACTATTGAAGCAAAAACTTCTTACAAACTGCTGTAGATTTCTCGGAAGAATAACTGATCACCCTGATTAAGAGAATATACAAAGTGAAAATTTATTTCAAGAATCTCAATGTATTGCTTAAATTACTCTTACAGCTGGAACTTATAGTAGCAAATCTGCCTTCTTGAAAAACCATATCCCCGCTTGTTGATAACCATGTTTCTCAACTCACTGAAACAATATGAGCTCTACAGCACATTTCCTATGATAGAAAATGCTTTCTACTCATAGCAACTCTACAGATAGATATAACTTTAAAGGCTTACCATGCTCTTTTCTCCAACATATTCTTTGTAAATCTACTTATTTGTTAGATTTAATATACTCTTTTTGTTAAAAAGAGTTCTATGGTTACCTAATTTTTATCTTTATAATAAACCTGTGAGATACATTTGGCTGAAAGCTGGTGACCAGACCAGCTTCATGGCTGAGTTATGATCTGATCCATTTCCCCAATTCTTATCTAGGACTCTAATCACTACTGGTGGTCATTCATAGCCACCCACATCACAAGGAAACTGAACTAATCAGTACTGGCAATGCAATCTAAACAATAATTTCAGTTACAAAGGGGGTTATTTATTTGACACTTCCAGTTCAGCAATAAAATAATGTGAAACTAACAAAGTTCCTTGAATGAGGGAGAAAAGCTGCACTTTTATTAGTGTATCAGTTTCATTACCTGCCAATATATAAGCTGTATATTTTATATTAGTGTAACCCTTCTGGATACTCATTACTTCAGATTTTTGCTCAAGATTTATGGTTGTTGATTGATATTTTACAGAATTTAGTGGCATTTTAAAACTGCCTGGTAACAAACAGCTTGAGACACAATGTTAGGTTGCTTTTGTTACATTCTTTTATTATTTTACCAGCTACTTTAGGAATGGTTTTCAGCAAACATAGTGTAAATAATCCCAACAATAAAAGGACAAATTGGTACAGTTAAAAACTGATATGGGAATATTTATAGAATCTTTACTATTTCAGGACATACATGTAGACATAATGGAAAAAACACATATCACAACCTCAAGATTCTAGTCACAGTCTTGAATGGGAACATTGTAGCATACTTTAAGCACATTATGTAATCAATAGAGATAAATTTGTGTGGCAACATTATCCCTATCAATTTAACAGCCATTTCATGCATGATCATACTTCACTACTGTGTCACACTTGATCTAGCCTGAGACTTGTTAATATAGTGAATTTAATGCCAAGTTGTCATAGCTCAATAATTAAAGTGGAGATAACTACTGTAATACTGCCAGTTTCAGATTGGCATCTGAAATAATGCTCAATAGAGATTCATCTTTTCAAGAAAGTTCCAGCCCCCAAAGCTGAGAAGCTAATGGCTCCCCCCATGTTTCCTAGAACAATCTTGTAGCAGGGTCCCTATTTTTAAAGCCAGGTTTTGATAAAGTCTTGCTTCAAAATGCCTGAAAATGAGCAATGCAATTTCAGGCTTAGGCTGGGTGGTTTAAAGCAATATGTTGGGGAGGGAGAAAATCAGAATTCTCTGTCATTTGTTTGTGAAGACACCACACCAATGTCTGCCCCACTCCTGTCATGCTGATCACCCGATAACCACATTTCTCCAGCTTGTCCAAGACGATCCGCGGAGCATCCTGAACGTAATATTCCCCGCTGTTGTAAAGAAGATACATAAAAAATGAAAAGAGGTTCAGTTTTTCAAACAATTTCAAATGATTAGTGTCCATATTGATGAGAAAGTCAAGTGAATGCTGAGACTCTAAGAACAAATATGTAAAACCAGAAAGTTAATTGAAAGGAAAGGCTAAACAGAAATTTAATATGTAGATCAGAGTTTAATATTAACTTTTGGATCTCTGCTGCCCTACATTTCTGAAAGCTTGGGGGAATACAAGATTTCACACCCAAGTTTTGAAAAGTAATGGTGAAGGAGCCTAGAGGCAGCTTTATTCACAAAATTACCTGGTGAAGAGTTCTAGAGAGTTAAAAGCTTGCCCATTTTTTATATACTTGGTCCTAATAAACAAATTACTCAAAGATTATTCATAATATTTATAACAATTTAAATGTTATGGGCTGGTTACAAATACAGCTCTACCCTGATCTTCTTTGATATTTTACAGGCCATTCTTTATGGGATTTGTACTTGTGTTTTCATCTGTGAACCGATCCTTCCAGGCTAGTATTTTTAAATGCAGAGTTTGCAGCCACAACAGTACATCCCCCGAGACTCTTCATTTTCCTCCTCTTCTGGTTATTTATGTGAAAGGAGGAGGAGGTGGTCACCACCACAAAACAAGAATGGAAAGGAAAGCAAATGTAGCAGAGGCATTAACGGGGAGGGGTAAGAGGGGGACAAAAGCAGTGTGCCATTGGGGCACAAGCCCTGCACCTTTCTGTATGTGCATCATGATGTTGCACCCACATATAGCACCCTCAAGGCCCCGAGTATGTTAAATGCCCTGTTTCTTGGCTATATTGATAACTATGGTGATAATTTTTTTTCCAGCTGCCATATATATTTATTTTTGTATTGTACTGTAATTGTTTTAACTGTTTTTATAACTGTTTGCCGCCCAGAGTCACTTGGTTGAGATGCACAGCTATAGAAATTAAAATAAATAAATGAAATAAAATAAAATAAAATAAAATAAAATAAATATGAAAGAGACAAAGCTTATGGCATGATACTACTTTTGTCATGTTGACAAAAGCACCCAAGCCTGCATCTTACCGCTACTGAATGTAGTAAGAATTAAAACAGATATACAGTATTTAAAGATACCCGAGCCAAAGCAAGTATTTCTACAAGTTTTAGAAGAAGCTCTCAGGTGGGACTCCTTATATAATCCAAGAAAAAAAGCATAGATTTACTTAAAATGGGCTTATGCTAATTTTCCTCCTATGTGCACAATTACTATAACTTACATTAAAACACAACATAGCTCACCATAGTAACAGGAAAAGAACCCACGGGCCTATTCAGACTGCTATCCAGGGGGTATATTCAAGGCCTTTTGCCTTTCCATTGGCCTGCACAGCCCTTCAAAGAACAGATACCTTCAAAGAGAGACCTCTTCTGACAATTTTCCAAATAGAAGAATCATCTTCAAAGCAGGACCTATGATTATTATACACTAGCTTCACCCTTGAGCTTTTAAGCTTGCTTGCATGTAAAACCTATGAAATCACTAACAATGGAAAGGCAAAGAACAGAAACATCAACATGATGAAAAGCTTAGCATGACTTATAAAAAGGAATGCTTTTGAACTACATATTGTCATCTCTCTTCTTCACCATATTTAAGTGCTAATACCTGTGGGGAAAAGTTAACAGGAAAGGAAAACACTCCTTACTTCTCATCTTCAAATCTAAAACACGGTCTTCAGCTGATTTTACATTTTTTCTAGTTCTTCAGAAATAAATAGTACCCTGGAAAGTGACCCAGTTCACATACTGCACTAGGCCAGGCCTTGTTTCATTCATAGTTTGCTCAGTAAGGAACAACAGGCTGAGTTGAACTAAGATATAAATAATCGTTTATAAACCACAATGTCTGGGTTAAACATAACATCTTAAGCCAAAACAACTATATTATAACTTAACAAGATGTACATTTATGTCCACATTTATTTACAGTGTTTCAAACTAAATATTGTAGATGATATTTTGCACTTCAAACTCACACATACACTTATAATGAAAACAGATGGCATAAAACTGGCAGGAGGCCAATACATTAGACTGGAAGACAGGCCCAAGCTGGAGTAATGATGGGGATTGAAGCAAGAAAAGGAAGGATTGAGGGCAAATGGCGTAGTCACTGCACCTGGATGAAATTTTCTCTGGAGTATCATTAGAGTAAATAGGGTTCTAGTACTGTTATTGTTGTCATTTGGGCTTTAATTTAAATTAATGAAAAGTTCAGGAAATGCAGCCATTCTAAAGAATGCACACAATTTTCCAGAGCAGAGGAATGAAGATGACAAAGAGGTTGTGGCTAGGAATATATAGCTCCTTAATGAAAGGTTTCCACACAACTGGACACCAGATCTGGGAAAGCTCTCTTGTGTTGTCAAGATTACTGATTAACAAACAGTGATGTAAGCAAGAAGCAAAAAGAAGAATGAAATTCCCATTTAAATACTTACAAATGATTCCCCAGCACATTTCTTTTAGTGGCCCCTAGATAGAGCATCAAATTTGGATCTGAATGTTCATCACCAACTATTGTGGGTCCAACTTCCTGAAGAGAGAAATGACCACTTCTGTTATGAAAACCACATTAGCATCATGCCATTATTTCATTCTGCCAGTTATCCACTGGCAACATTTGAACACCAGATAATAAAGATACTTAGCAGAAACAGCAGTTCAAGATGGTTTGCAAAAGTCTCCAATACTATACTTTTGTCTTCAGGTTGAGATTGGCATACTACCACTCAACTTCACACATGTACCCATATTAGTACATCCAAATTTACTACAATGCATTTTATTTTTTTCCTTTTTGTTGTATTGTTATGAGTCTTGACAGAGAGTCATTTTGGTGTAGTGGTTAAGGCATCAGGCTAGAAACCAGGAGACCATGAGATCTCGTCCTGCCTTAGGCACAAAGCCAGATGGGTGACCTTGGGCCCGTCACTTTTCTCTCAGCCCTAGGAAGGAGGCAATGGCAAACCACTTCTGAAAAGCCTTGCCAAGAAAACTGCAGGAACTCATCCAGGTAGTCTCCGAGAATCAGACACAACTGAATGGATTAAAAAAAAAGTCTTGATATATTGTATTATTTCAGTACTGTGACGCTTATATAACATAATTAATGATTACTGACATTCTATTATTTAGATAAAGTATTGAAAATAGAGAAATAAGATATTCTATCAAAATTAGTTACAATTTATTATATCAATATTACAAGCATTAAAATTGTTTAGCTTTTTCATTCAAAGTTGAGTATTAGCACTGAAAAAGAAAACCAATGCGACTTGGATCAAGGTATTTGTTATATAATAAAGGTTTCATTCTTAAGCTATTTACTTAATACTAAAATCTCCATTATATTGCTTTTTTATTTTTATTTACACACACACACGCACATACGCGCACACACACATGTTGATAAAAGGAAAAAATAGATGAACAGAGCAGATTTAATGCTACAATGCATTTTAAGTAGGAATAGCACCAACACTATTCAGAACATGACAGCTACTTCCAACACATTTGCCAAAGAACTCCACTGGCATCCAGTTTGTTTATATTACTGATCTCAATGTATTAAGCATACTCTATATCACTGGTTCTCAATGGGGGCGGTACTGCCCCCCAGGGGGCGGTAGGAGGATGCTGAGGGGCGGTGAACTTGTTTTGGGCGGTAGGGGGGCGGTGG